CCCTCGCCCTGCCCCGGGGGGTGGGGGGGGAGCTGGACCCCCACCGCGGCGGGGCGTCCGCCTTCGCCGCCCAAAAAGGGGCCGCCTGCGCTCGCCCGCCTGCCTCTGCCCGCCCGCCCGCCCCCCGAGGAGCGACCGGAGAGGGGGCCGGGCACCCCGCGACTGCCAGCTTATCTCCCCCCGCCCCCCGGCTCTCGGCCCTCCTGGCTGCCTGCGACTTTGGGCTGGTCCGGGTCAGCGCGCGCGCGCGTGTGTGCGCGGGTGGCAGGCTCACCGAGGGGGTCAGTTGGCTGGTACGCGGATACTCCGGCGGCACTTGGGCCGGCCTGTGTCGGGCACGTTCTCGCCGGGTTCGGCGCGTTCTTGTATCGGAGAATACATCGCATGAGGCTGTCGGCCTTGGCCGGGCGTCAACACGTTTTCATCTGAGCACCAGCACGCAGTCCGCGAGAGAGGGAGAGAGGGAGAGAGACGCCGACAAGGCGCGGGGCCTCCTTCGCTCCAGGGGGGGCATCGGTCGGGGCCCGGGCGGGCCGCGCCCCCTGGACAGCAAGACTGCACGCGCGTGCGCGCGCGAATGTGTGCGCGTGCGCACCGGGCGGCGCGGCCGCCAGGCGCATGCACGATCCAAGGGGGCTGCCATGGCAGGAAACAAGCGCAGACGGGGGGAGCACGAACACTCCGGCCCTGGCCCTCGCCGCTCGCCGTGTGCCCTTGTGCAGAAATGCCCCTCCGGCAGCCTGGGTGCTTTTGGGACGCTCGCGGGAATATTACTTATGGCTCGGGCTCCGGCCGATTTCCCCTAAACTAGATGGCCGCCGGTTTAATATCCAAGTAACGTGTGTCCCCCCCGCCGCCCGGCGGTCTTCTGCCTGCGGGGCGCGGCTTCGACGCCCCTCTGGAAGCTTTCTCGGGTCCGTCCTACTTTTGAGCGCCCCGGTCGGGCCCGGCCTGGGAGCAGGAAAGGGAGCCAGGTTTGGCCCTGGGGGTCGTCGCTGGGGGCGCCGCGCATACGCACGGCCACCCCCCCCCCCCCCGCACGCCCCCAACATTCAACGCCCATTCGCTGGGGGGGGGGGGGAATTACCCAGCCCCAAAAGGCGAGGACTGGGTGCGCCGTGTCGGTTCCTCTCCTGGGGCCCCCTTTGTCTTTGGAACTTGGCGCTCATTTGGTGGCCGATGGCTGCAAGCGCCCTGGCGCCAGGCTGCCTCGGCGGCGGGGCCCGGCGCGCCCGCCCTCCGCCGCCGCCGCTGGCCATTGTCCGGTTTCGGCGGTCGCCGCAGGCCGGGCGTTCTCGGTCCCCTCGCGTGGACGCCGCGGTCAGGCCCCCCACCCGATCCGGTCTTGCCCCGGGGCCAACACAGACACCCCCCCCCCCACACACACACACACACATATGCACCCCCAGCCACCTCCCCGCACCCCCACTCCCGACGACCACACATGCGGCGCACGGACACAATTTTTTGCACACTCCGGGCACGCTGGCGCCCTGGGCCCCACTCCCGACGACCACCGGCCGAACGGCCCCGGGCCATGTTTACGCCCCGGCCGGCCGCCGCCCTCCTCCGCGAAGAGACACGGGCATGCCCGCCCTCCCGTGTCCGGCCCCTGGAGGTGCTCCTCCGCCAAAGGCGCCATCTCCGCCGGCCCCCCCCCCCCCCCCCATGAGAGGGAAGGGGACAGGGCGGCGAGGCCGTGCGATGCCCGAAGGGGAGCCAATACGTGCGTTTGCAAGCCGGGCGCGTGCAAACTGTCCCGGATCCCTTTCCACCGTCGCCCCTCTGCCTCTCCCTTTCCGCCTCCCTGCCACGCGCGCATCCCCGCCCCCCCCCCCCTCCCCCGCCCTCTCCACCATGTCTTCCAAGTCCGATCGCGAGCTCGCCGAGCAGGAGGCCATCCCCGGCGAGCAGGCCTACAACAACGAGGACACTGCCCACCTGAACTCCTCGGTCAAGAACTTCATGACCTCCGGCGAGTCGGATGTCACGTACGCTTGTGGCGCCGAGCCGCCAGATCTCCCACTCGCTGTGCCACCCGCTTGCCAGGGCGTGCCCGCCCGCTTGCTGACCCCAGCTCCCCTGCCTGCCCGTCCTCTGACCTTTCTTCGGCCGGCCCGCGCCATGCCATGCCGCCCACCCAGCAAGCTGAAGGCCCCGGTCTGGATCAACGAGGGCGACTCCATGATCAGCCGTAACCTCTCGCAGGTGTACACCGACCACTTCCTTGAGTGCGTGCCTTGCCCTCCGTCCTCCGCCCTCCACTCGCTGCCCCCCCCCCCCCACCTCTCTTCGATCGGTCCTCGCCCTGACCGTCCATCCGACTTCGCTCGCTCGACCGCTCCCCCTCCCACACAGCATCCCCCTCGGCTCGACCCCGGAGGAGCGTCTCCTCCGTGCCATGCGCTTCTTCTTCTCCCACTTCTCGGTGAACCTCGTACGCATTGGCCCTTGACCCTGCCCTCGATCGCGCTCGCGCCTCCTTCCCCTCCTCCCACTAACTCCCATCTCCTCGGCCCCCCTCCCCCCCCCCCCCCCCCCCCCCCCCCCCCCCGCTCGTTCACCGAGCGCAGCTGACCAAGAAGAAGCCCTTCAATCCGATCACCGGTGAGTTCTTCCGCGGCTCCTACTCCCCCGGCGAGAACTCCCCCCACAAGGGCCGCAAGATTGTTTCCTACTCCGAGCTGATCAACCATCGCCCGATTGTGATCGGCTTCCACATGGAGGACGTCCCCACCGAGGAGGGCGGCCAGCCCACCGTCCAGTACTACGGTGCCATCGAGATCCAGGCCGGCTTCTCCGGCATGAGTGCGTGCCCGCCATCTGGCGATGTCCCCCCCCCCCCCATCCCCGCCTGCTCACCCGCCCTCTTCGGCCCGCGTGTCTCGCCCTCCCCCCCCCCCCCATCCCCCACTCGCAGCCATCCGCGTCAAGGTCCTCGGCGACTGCTTCATCCGCCTCCCCCAGCACAACGAGACCTACCGCTTCAACCTGCCGCTGTCGGTCCTGCGCGGCCTGCTGGTGGGCAAGTCCTTCATGGACATGAATGGCGAGACCAAGTTCGAGTGCCTGGAGACCGGCCTGTCGGCGTCCATCAACTTCAAGGAGAAGCCCTGGTTCTTCGGCCAGTACCGGAACATCAGCGCCACCGTGCGCAACGCCAAGGACAAGAAGATCTACAAGCTCGACGGCAACTGGGGCAAGTCCATTGACCTGGAGAACCTGGAGACCGGTGAGAAGGTGCCGAACTTCTTCCTGCGCGATGTGGCCCTGGAGATCCCGGTGACCATGGCCCCGGTGGAGGAGATGGAGGAGCTCGAGTCCGTCCGCCTGTGGGAGCCGGTGGTCACCCCGCTGCGCGCCGGCGACAACCCGGCCGCCGAGCGGGCCAAGGATGCTCTGGAGCACCTGCAGCGCGTCCTCCTCAAGGAGGTGGATGAGAACCGCTACACCTACGAGCCGATCCTCTTTGCCCCGGGCCCGGAGGAGGAAATCAAGAAGAGCACCGCCCCGACCTTCGTCCTGCGCCCGGACCATGCGTCCCGCGTCTCGCGCTCCTGGCTGCCTGACATGGTGAAGATTGCGTCCGCCGCCAAGAAGTAATCCGTGTTTCTTCTTCCCCTGGTCTGTCTCTCTCTCTCTCTCTCTCGCACGCCCTTCTGGCTATCTGGCCTCCCCTGTGTGCAGGGGGGAGCCGCCCCCTCCTCTTGATGATACAACAAAACCCCCCTCAATTCCGTGCTTTTCCCGGTGCCTTCCCCCCCCCCCCTTCGCCTCCTCATGGGACGAGGGAAAGAGGAAGCAGCCGCCATTTGGCGACGCGGGGCTCCTTCCAAAAACTCGGCCGTGGGGGAGGCCTGGGATGCACAGCCAAATGGCGGACACAAGGGGAGGGGCGTGTGAGTGTGTGTGTGTGTGTAGAGAGATGCTGCTTTGCCCCCGTTGTCAGAGGGGAGTGGGGGGGGGGGACGCGGATTACGAAGCGAAAGCGCGTGTATTCTGGAGGAGGGGGGGAGTCTGAACAGAGGCAGGCGGAGGTGGAAGAGGGACCCGACAAGTGTCACCCCTTTGTAGTCACCACACTGCCGAAGATAGCTCTCCCTCCACTGGAGCAAATGGCAAAGCATGCACCCGCCGGGGGGGAGAGGGAACCTCGTCACCAGAGAAAGCCAGCCATTTAGTGGTAGATGGCGTTCTTCTCTGTGGGAGGGGGGGGGGAGGGGGATTGGCCTGTGAGTGGGAGGGTTCATTGTGGCGGAGGAGAGAGGCGGAGGAGAGGCGCAAGGGGCAGCGTCTGGAGAAGCGTACCGTGGTGGTCATGGCCGAGCCAGTAGCCGAAGGCCAGAGTGGTGAAGATGAAGCCGTAGAAGGGGCGCATGGTGCTGAAGCGGTTGGGGTTGCTGACGATGGCCTTCAGGGAGTTGCAAGAGGTGTTGCTGTGGAGGAAGGGGGAAAGGGCGTCAGGGGGGGGAGGGGGGGCAAGAGGGCAGTCCGGACTGCTGGGGGTAGGGAGGGGGGACAATATGCCGCCCCGGGCAGGGGCATCATGCGAAGGGATGGGCGCAACGGCGGGAGTAGCGTACGGGTTGAGCTTGCGGGCGACCCAGGGGAGGACCTCGATGAGCTTCAGGTCGAAGAACTTGGTGGCGGGCTTCATGGTGGCGGGCTAGGGCAGGGGAGGAGGGTGCGGAGATGTGAGAAGAGTGACAACAAGCAGGCCGGCCTCACGCGGCGAGGGGACGCAGAAGGGGGCGGCTGAGAGGAAGGGGTGCCCAAGCGGACACATGTAGGTGTGCGTGTGTGCGTGTGTGCGTGTGTGCGTGTGTGCAAGTGTCGCCGTAACACGCAGGGACAGAGCGTGTGAGATGGTCCCTGCCGGAGCATGGACACATGAGCAGGCGGCGGCGGCGACGACGAAAGACGGGCCACCGGGAGGACCCGCCTCCGGAGCGCAGCACACGGGACAGCGGGGAAAACAGCAAAAGGGTGGCGGGGGAGTGCCGGGTTCGGTCGGGGGGAGGAGGAGGGGGGGAGAAGGGGGAAAGGGGGAAAGGGGGAGGAGGGGCGAGGGCGACATACAGGAACAGCGAAAAGAGCACAAAGGAATCTTCACTGGAGGGGTGGGGGGAGCGCGGGCGCCTCCGGCTCGACTCATGGAGGCGTTTTCTTACATCCCCAGGGGGGGGGCGGGGGCGGGGGGCACAGTCAGCCCGCTTGCCCGGCTCCCCCTCCGGGCGGACATGCTTCGGGCCGGGGAGGGCTTTGGCGCGCAAGTACGCACGCACGTACGACCACAAAACAACGGAAGACAGGACCCACCAAATCCCCCAAGGCCCTGGCCTGTGGGCGCAGAGGCGCGACACC